GTCAAATTTAGAACAAAGAAACCAAGTACAGTAAAATCATTACCCGAGTAATGAAGCGTTGAGCCTCTTCTAGTAGAAGAGAAGCGCCACCAATATCGGAGGCATCATCGACTCCAGTAAAGCAATCCCGAAAAGGGTCCCCTACACTAGAGCCTTCGCCCATATCGGGGGGTCTTTAATTCTCGAGCTTCCTTTAACGCCTCCTCAGAAAAGGTTGGAAGAGAAGGCAAATGACCCACTATCATAGTCCCAAGCGAATCACTCGGGACGCTCCAATCAAGACTCGGGATACCAGGACCGACCCCGACCGGTAAAGCCACCATCGGCTCAGAAGCTATGGCGACCTCGATAATTTTCGCAGATCGGATCACCAAAGCCGAGGCATCATTTTCTTCTTCTTCTTCTCTCAGTCGTTAGATCGAGTCCATCGGAAGAGCGACTGCCTTCCTCCTCACCCTTTGAGTCTTGGGCTTGGGGTTCTCTAACCGAGAGGCAGCTTTTCGCTTCTTATCTTTTCCCAGTTTCGGGACCGGAGACTTGGTTCCTTCTTCGCCGCTCGAAGGCCTCAAAGCGGCATCCTTGGTTACACCTGCATGAAAGGAAATCGGTAACGAATGGAGCACAAAAAACACTTCGAAAGAACACGAGAAGTAAACTCTTACTATGATTCTTGGCCTCCCATCTACCTTTTGCCAAATCACGCCAATTGCGTTCGGCATAAGAGGAAGTCGAGGCTAACTTCCGAACCCAATCCTCGAGGTCGGGTACCGCTTGTGGCATCCAAGGGGAGGCTGTATATCGGAGAAAGACATCAGAAAAAAATCGAAAAAAGATACGAAAAACAACGTCCTATGAGAACCACTTACGGTTGAAATTCCATTCCTCGGAGAATGACATCTTCTCTTCTGGAATGAGGTCACGGGTCCTCACCCGGATATAAAGGCCCATCCAACCCCGATCCTTATCTTCGTCGATGCTCGACATCAGAGCCTTCGATGCCCGACGATGAAGTCTGATTAGTCCTCGAAAGAGTTGAGGCTGATACAATCGTATGAGGTAATTCGGGGAAAAATTCAGCCCCCCGACCTTGATGGAGAAGAAGCGAAGTAGGATTACTATACGCCATAGAGAGGGATGAATTTGACCAAGGGTGACCTGGTATCTTTTGCAAAAATCAATGATCACCGGGTTGACGGGACCCAACGTGAAGGGATAAGCGTAAACACTTAAAAACCCCTCCACATGGGTGATGACGCTCTCTTCGGGGGATGGAATTTGCAACACAACCTCGGAACCCCAGTTGCAGTCTTTCCTAATAGCCTCAAGATGACCCTCCATTATCGAGCACATGTACATCGACACATACTCGTATCGACCCGGAACAGATAAAGGATTCTCAACCTTAAAATCGATCTTCAGAGTACACAGACCGGGAACATACTCATAGGTAGACGGCTTCACCGGCGCCTTGTCGCCGGACGACCGTGAGGAAGAAGCTTTCTCCTTCTGAGGTACAATTTTTGATGTTTTGGCCATTGATATGAGAGGAAGAAAGGCAAAGGAAAGTGAAAGGTTGACGACACCAAACTCTGGTGTAGATGGCTCTGCAAAGCGACGAAATAGAGAGAAAGGGTACGAAAATTTGGATGAGTAAAAGCGTAAAAGTGGTAAATATTAGGTGGAAGGGTTATTTATAGGCTCGCATCATGGCGGTTCAATATCAGAGGTGGCCGACTGCCATCTGACACACATTAAATACCTTGAAAGACTAAATCGATGGGACAACTATCACATACGTTATAATCGATCCCTATGAAAACGTCAGCTTATAACCCGATCGAACCGTCGAAAATCATATCGATTCTCACTACATCCTTCCTGAGAAACGAGTGGACTATTTGTATACGGTCGAAATAGATTTCGGCCTTCCTACGTTCGATCGAGTTCGAGTGGCAAGAAACCGGAGTGGGATTTTGGGAGTGAGTTCCGAAGACAGCACAAACGAGCCTCAAGTCCGAAGGCTGCTCGAGGAGCCGGCTCGATAATCTTATCGAGCCCATGACCAAATCGATCTGCAAGGCATTGCTTCGAGGTCAGAAATGCGCCATGCCTACCCCGAAGGTCGAACTCAAGCCAAAACCAAGGGCTCGACCCAGTAACGAGTTCGAGCCAGTATCGAGCTCACAGACAAGAGCCGTTACAACCGCACTAAGGGAGAGAATCTTGGCGGGAATCAAGGAAGAGACAATTCATCATGGGTCCTCCACTATGTGCTTTATTTTATTATTTTATTATAAATAAAATAATAACCCTCTATTATAAAAGGGGGAATCCTTGTAAGCAACAGGGACACCGAAAACACTGTAACAAAAGATCATTTCTCATATAAAAAGATATCTTCTTGTGCTTGTTTTACTTTATCTTACTCATTCTCTTTGTTCATTATTCTCATTCTCATAGTCAAGAATACACGTATTTCTATCTCTTTATACGATTTGTATCAAAATGTATCACGTATCTTTATATCCATACACAAATTTAACATTATCTGATTTCTCTGGTAAACATATATATTTTTCAACTTTACCAAATACATTAGTATCATACACGTAAAAATGAAAGATGCGTGAGTAATATTCATAGTATATATANTAATTGTTACAACACGAGGTTACAACAAAAAGGCAAGTTTATAGTGTCCAATAATGCACCTACAGGAAAGGTTAACAAAGAAGTAATTGAATAATAAATGATAGAATTACATCATTCCAACTTCGAAGGCAGTTTAAAAGAAGAAAAATGAAAAATGGGTTGGAGCAGTTTATAATATTTCCAAATTTCGACGCTTAAATGTGATTTTAAATCTAATAACAGTTGAACACATTTTGAAATTGCTCCCTTCACATATAGCCACATTTTTTAAAAAGAGAATATAGACACTAATGGTTGTTTTAAACCATTATATAATCTTTTGTGTCTTTAAACATTAGTATTCAAAGTCCATCAACTCGAGCACAAAAAGTTCATTAAAAGAGTACAACGCTCTGTACCAAGAAATCTTCATTTGTGAAGTTCTAAACAAAACTTTTCACGTTTTCTCAATTATATATAAAATAGGTTTTGTAGCACGTCATGAGCGTCGACTAAGAGGCGATTGAGCAACACAAGCGAACCGCCTTGTATTGCTCCGCCACAAGGTAGAACGTTGCGAAGGTAATCTTGTTAGGACATCTCCAACCTTTACCTTCATTTTGATCCCTTTTGGGGATAACTTATTCCAATCATTTTTCCATTATTTCCCCCAAAGAAGAATAATTTTTTTTATATTTTTCTCTCTCTTCTATATTATATTATTATCTTTTATTTCAATTTTTATTTTTTAAATTTCATTAAACAAATTTCATCTTTTATTTTTATTAATTTGTAATTTCCATTATGAAGACAATCCAATCAGAAAATAATCGGATGGTTGATGCGATGAATAATGCAACCGAAGCAAAAAAAGAAGTTTTGGCTGTTCAAAAAGAAAAACTAAGAGTAAAAGAAATGAAAGAAGAAAATAAAGTTTTAATGATGGACGTGGATTCTATTGTCGATCCAACTCGTCGTGAATTTATGCGACAAGAACAACAACGAATAATGTATAAAAAAAGTCAACAATATCCACACCCACAACCACAACAATTCTGGGCCACATTCACTCAATACTATGATGATTTTGGTGTATCTGGAAACGACATACCTCCCTACTAAGTTATTATGCTATTTACCGTAGTTTCAATTTTTATGTATTTTCAATTTTCATGTATTTTTAATTTTAATGTATTTTTATTTAATATATTTTTAATTTTTATTTTTCAATTTTAGCAACATCTAATATTTTATATTCGCACCTTTCAATTTTAGCAACATCTAATATTTTATATTTGTACCATTTATTTTTTGAGATGATTATATATTTTTTGTACAATTATAACTTATAATAAAATTAACTTATAATTTTACATAAAAATAATAAATACACGAAAATTAATTTATCAAAATTATACGCCAAAGTTAAGATGTAAAATTAATATTATAAAGATATTACATAAACATAATTAGGTATATATAAAGAGATAAATTAAAAGAGTTAAATAATAAAATAATAATAAAATATGCATAAATAGTAATGGGGGAGATGAATAGTATACCCCATATTTGAAGGAATACTATTTATCTCCCATTTTGGGGGCAAAAATAAGAGAGGGTTGGGACTTTATTATAACAAAAATTGTTCCCCTTACGAAGAAATGGGTGAGGGTTGGAGATCACCTTATGGATACTTCCTATCAGATGAAATGGAGGACCAACATACATATTTTCACCAGAAATTTTTGGATTGAAGTGCTCGTCAAATGCACTAGTGCATAACTCATCTCACCACACCCTTTAATATATTAAACCTTATAATCAAGGGAAAATATCAAATTTGACATTGTATTATACTATGAAATTGAGGTTTTCTGTCATTCATTAAAGTTTAGTATAATATATTACCTCTGTATGTAGAAAAAAAATTTATTTTTGCCTATGGCCCCAACAAAGCTCCAATAAATAATAATAGTCAAAAGTTGAACGGCAGTTTTGAGTTTTTTTCTTAAAAAAATTAAAATACTCGAAATCTACTTATTTCACGCGAATATTTCATTAGGACTCTAGGGTAGAATATAAACTTCTTTTTAGCGGTAAAACAAGTGTAAATTACACAAAAAGAATTTAACAAAAGGTAAAGATATTCAATTTACGATAGTACAAGGCAAATTTGGACATTTTCCAACGAGACATATTTTGACATAGTTATTTATAAATATACTCTCTTCGTCTCAATTTGTTTAATACGGATCTTATGAATAAAAAAAATAAAAAATAATTTGGCTCACGAAATTCAAATTGTATCAATAAATTGGAAAGGAGGAAGTCAATGGGTCCCTTCAACTATGGCGAACCCCAACTCCAGTAGAGAAGTAAAGTTGGTGACAGATCGGTGAGTCACCGTATAGCAGCCTTATCCAGAGTCTTCTAAGCTAAACTCTTTTTAACCCTCCTTCAAATCTTGTACCTTTTCAATTTCATCATTCATTTCTCGCCCCTTCATCCTCTTCTCCGTCCTTAACCCCCGCGTCTCTTTTTTATAAAACCTTTTCAAATCTTTGTTAGTAGGTATTATTTTCTCCGGAAAATCCGTCACTTTTCTGGGGAAAATCTCATTCTTTTCTTCACTCAAATCCTAGATTTAAGCAGCTAAAAACAATTGCTTTTTCCATTTTTGGGATTTTCATTTCCCAATTCTGACCTTCAACGCTCGTGATTTTAAATAATCAAGTTCTTTTTTGGTCAGCTGAATTCGTTTTAGCAACAATTCTTTCCTAGATTGAAGCTGCCCCAAAAATCTCGCGTTTCCCATTTTCTAGGATTTATTTCCTTAATTACTCCGTCAAATTTTCTCCTCAATTTATTTAATAGAAAAATTCTTCTGTGTAAACTCTGAGATTTTTGATTGAAATAATTATTTGGAGTAGAAGAGATGACGATTGTTTCATTACCAGGAAGTTCAGGGTACTTGGATGTTAGTAATAGGAAAGTAGTGTCTTACTTCAGCAATCCCTATGTCTTGGGTTTGACTTTCGTTGCCGGTATTGGAGGTCTCCTTTTCGGCTACGACACAGGTAACCAAATAAACAACTGCATATTAATTAGTAGTAATAAGTAAAAATAAGTGTTACCCTATAATTTTTTTTTTTATTGTTCTTATTCCACTAAATATTTACCGTACCTTTTAAGAGGAGGGTAGTTTTGACCATTTTGAAAAATATTATTCGATTGATGACTGGTTTTGCTTAATCTACCGATGAACCTTGATTTGGTTTCTACATGTGCAAGTAGTTGTATAAAAGCTTGTAAACAGCTGAACATTTTTTGGCTTTAATTTGGGGCTCTAGTTTGATAACTACTGTTTTTTTCTTCAATAATAAGCGAAATTCGAGAGTTTTTTTTTAATCCGTAGATTGCCTACTATTATTTTGCACGTGAGGCTCAATTCCTAATTATTTTTGTTTATTTATAAACTCGGAGTTGGTGGACTAGACAATTATTTTATTGACTGGATTAGTTGCTTGTCACATTGGTATAATAAATTGTAATAGACATAATTCAAACAAGTTACTAAATGAAAGATTAAAAAAAGTGAGTGTATGCTGACCAATTGGCAACAATGGCTTCCTTGATGTGGTCTCAACCAGAAAAAAAAAAATAAATAAATAAAAACACATTTTATGGGATATGATGAGGTGCGATGTTATGACATGAGTGATAAAATAAGTAGCATGAATCTTTGACACGAAACTGAATTATATTTTGTTGTAAAGCAATTAAAATTGACTGCATTTGTTTTCTCAGTGTAATATGTATTCTCACGTATCTTTGACTTGGCTGCAGGAGTAATATCTGGTGCACTTTTGTACATTAAGGATGAATTTCCCGAAGTCAATCAAAGCAGTTTCCTACAGGTACATGAGGCTGGTACAACATTATCCTATTGTTATTGGAGTTATTTAAAAAAAATGGATGTGACGGGGAGTGGGGGTGAGGTTGGAGTTCAAGTACTATAAATAGATTGTTTTCTTAGTTCCTGAGAGAAGTATGTACTCGTCACCTCGCGTACACGGCCTTCATATGACACAATTAGCAAAAATGACTCAAATCCTAAGGGGTAGTTCCCCCACACAAAGTAAGGCAAGATACTTACCTCAAAGAAGCTCGACCGATACTCTAAAATGACCTTCTCGTGTGAAACAACCCCAGGATGGCTCAAATCTAGCCAAAATAACTTCAAATCATAAATAAAACTCATAGGAAACAATTCCGGATACTAAAGCTTCGATCTTTAATTAAAACTAAAAAGTCAATCCACGGGCCCGCACAAAATTTATAAAACCCGAGCACCAATTCCAATACGAGTCAAACCATACCAAATTTATCAAATTCCGATATCGAATCTCCCTCAAATCCTCATTTTACATTTTTGAAAGCTTTTTACAAAATTCTCATTTTTCTTCCATTCAATTCACAAATTTAATTCACTAATTCAAGGCCTACAACTTTTCATGTCGTTCGACCCTCGGCGGTGTACATATTATTATGGGGTCGGTCCGTACGCCTCGACATTTCTATAAAATACTCTTATGGGATCGGGTCATTCACCTCGGCAGCGTCGTGCGTAGTATTTGACAAGAAACCAGAGTTTCCGTGTGTTTTGGGTCCTCTTGTCAGTTACATTAAGGAATTGTTCTAACCTTATCAGAAGAATTCCTGAAAGTTAACGTGCAAGGCAATCTAATATGGTCGAGCAAATGTGACACTTTTTTGCTTTAATGACTGGTGCAAAACTATATTCAATGTGATAATGCAATTGTGGTATGTAATTTATTTGCTATTAAATATGTTTTACTTTGCTGTAGAAGCAAACTTTTCAAATGTACTACCATTGTTGCCTTTGCTAATCTTACAATAAAAAGGATTTTCAATTGGCCATCTCCTCCCCATCTCTGCCGCGAGCATATAACACTTAAGTGGTCCTATTTCTTGTCGATTTGTTTTTCCCCCTGAAAATGCAGTTAATGATTTTGCAGGAAACTATTGTCAGTATGGCGTTGGTTGGGGCTATGATTGGAGCTGCCGCTGGGGGCTGGATTAATGACTCTTATGGACGCAAGAGAGCTACTTTATCTGCTGATGTTGTTTTCATCCTAGGATCTTTGGTAATGGCAGCAGCTCCGGATCCATACATTCTTATACTTGGACGACTTTTAGTAGGTCTGGGTGTTGGGGTTGCTTCTGTTACTGCTCCTGTGTACATTGCTGAAGCATCTCCATCAGAAATTCGTGGGGGGCTTGTGAGCACAAATGTATTAATGATTACGGGTGGACAATTTCTTTCCTACCTTGTGAATCTTGCTTTCACAGAGGTCAGATATTTCTTTCTTTCTCATGCATTTCTAAGTTTATACTGCTTTGACTTAGATAAACTTAAAATCAACAAAATCTATGTTGCATGTGGACAGGAGGAAACTATACTTGTCAAAGACATAAGCTTAAAGTGTTAAAAAGATATGGGCTTAGGGAATTAGTTGAGCTTAGTGGTGGTAAAATGATTAAAAGAAAACAGTTATCCACCTATATTATCCATTAAAAAATGGGTTGAATAATGATCTTTTTGGAAAAAAAGTCAAATATGCATAAGAACCATATTATCCACTTAGAAAATGGATAGCCAATGAGTTTAATTTTTACATTTGTAAAACCTTAAATTGGGGGTTCCTCAAGTTTGGGAGAGTAGGAATTCTCCCAAAAGTGATTATATTCAAGAAGTCATGGGTAATACAGATATCCATACTATCCGCAAGTTAACCCATTTTTAATCTGTATTAAATATGGGCCGGGTCGGATAATTTATTCGTTTTGTATTACCTGTTTTCGACCCACCCATATCCGCCCCGCCCCACCCCGCCCGTTTGCCACCCCTAGTTGAGCTTGTGGGTTAAATGTTACTATTATTTAGTTTGTTACTGTTATTTGGTAGTCTGATTGAATTGATAAACTGATTTATTAGTGTGGGAGTAAATGTCTTGTATCTTTTGTGATGTTTATACATTCATCTGTGAAGTATTACAGCATAAAAGCAGATAGGGTGAGGGAAAGAACAACTTACTTTTTGAGATTTGCAGATCATGTTCTAACTCGAAGAACGTTACCGAGAAATTCAAACTTTTGCTTCCTAATCTTCATTCACCGAATTTTTTCCTGTCAGAAGCTATGGTGAGATCAAATGGAATCATTACATAAGCTATTTGTTGAGGTTCTTTGAATCTTTTTCCTAAATAGAGCACAAAAAAAATTGTCTTCACTTGTGTTTATTATTTTTGGCATGAAAGGTTTCCCGTTGTGCAGTTCGGAGTGGCAGATCGAGATAGAATATGGGGCTTGCATTACAATATCTGCAATGAGTAACATCAGTGGAGGAATTGTTCTTTCTCACCTATGTTGTGATTTGTGTGGATATTGTCATCTAGCTGTTACTTTTTTCTGAAGTGGCGTTTATGAATGATTTGTGCATTGCCGACTACTAATAGATAAAAGTTAATTTGGAAAATACCCTGTGGGTTTTAGTAGTCTTTGTGAAGTTTCAGTTAGAAATAGAACATCAAAAATCTGCTTTGCATTCTTTGTTTATCATTTGTGGAATTGGAATATTCCGTGTGTTAAAAGAAGGAAGCAGCTTGGCATGCAAAAGTGAGTTGGATATTTGTGTTGCCATTGCTCCCAGCTTTAATCCAGTTGATTTAATAGGTGTATGATGTTTTGTTGGGATATTCTGTCTGTTTGCTCCTTTTATTTTTTGTTCTTTTTTCAAAGATATGCTTGATGAGTGCTGAACTTAATCTATATGCCATCACTCAAGGTGAACAGTACTTCGTACATCTAGTTGTCTTCATATAGAATCTACTTGCTGTTTTGTTTCTGGAGACGGCTGTACTTGACAGAAAATCAGAAATGTTGTTTAGACATTTCGTTCTGGAAACATTCCTTATGTATGTCATAAGGAGCTTATTTACTCGAAAAAGGCACGTTGTCCAAGTGGTCCTTGGAAGGACTTAATGGTGGCAATTTGCTAGTAAGTTCCTAATGCAGCAATCCCTCCATGTGATTAAGTAGGTGCAGCACTTTATCTTAGGACGTTGTTCTGGGTCATGTTACTTAACTACCTAGTTTGTCAGGTCCTCTTGACTGGTTGTCCTTATAACTAGATCATTCTTTTTGGGTCTGCAATAGTTCTGAGATTTTAGTCTGCCATGCATGGGTGGCTCTACATGAATAGGTTTATGTGGGCTGCAGGAGGATTCATGTTAACAGTTAATGTCTAGTTGTTTGGGTTCATATTACTTTTTGGATTTACTATTCTGATTTTTGTGGAGTGTCAGGCCCATAGAGATAGATGAGTGGTTGAGGAACATGAGTAATAACTTGGGGTGCAAGGTTCGAAGTCGGTTACAACATTCATTGCCAGTCCATCAGCTCTAGCCTTGGTAGGCAGGATTAGCCGACACTTTTGCTTGTGGGTTTCAGCAGGCTGCCTGGTGACTTTGTCTATGTGCACGTAAGCTATTACCCAGATACCACTATCATCTAATAGAATCTGCAGGGTATCAGATAAAAGGGATAGGTTAGGGTTCCTTCAGGGACATCTGATGAAATTGGAACGATACGGAGAAGGTTAGTATGGCCCTAGGTATAAGCTTCTCCTGACCCGGTATAAGCTTTAGTATGGTCAACAGCCCGGGTTGGTTAGTTACAATGTTTGGATACATTATTCTTTCACCAAATCTAGGGTCTTAGAAGTCCACCTTGTCGTCCCCGGTAGGCTACTAATTCTGCCCTGGAATATGGAAACTTATTCGTGTTTTAAAAAAACGAGGATAGTTTTGACTGTTTATTGTATATTCAAAGTGATGGTACACCTTTCTCCTGAATTTGTTCATTTCAAGTGTGATCTGAGTATTTCTTCCCGTATCTTTACCCAGTTTGTGCTTTTACATTGATAATCATTGTCTTACATTATCACAACTTTGTGGAGGATACTGGAATAACCATTCTGATAGTACATGATTGCTATTGTGTTTATTCTAATGAAATTGTTAAAGCATTCTTATTGATTTCCATTGCTGCGTGAATGTTTGAACAGATTCCAGGGACTTGGAGATGGATGCTTGGAGTGGCGGGAGTGCCTGCTGCTATTCAATTCGTCCTCATGCTGTTTTTACCTGAATCTCCACGATGGCTTTACATGAAGGTGCAAATTCTTAACTTTGTGGGTAGTTCTTGCTAATGAATAACAATGTTGACTTAAAAAGACCTATACAGAAGGATAAAGCTGAAGCTGTCGCTGTTTTAGCTAAGATTTATGATCCTTATCGGTTGGAGGAGGAGATTGATCAGCTTGCTACTGCATTAGAGGAAGAACGCCTTAGAATGCAGGCTGTCAGTTACCTGGATGTATTTAGGAAGAAGGAGATCAGACTTGCATTCTTCGCAGGAGCTGGGCTGCAGGTATCCTTTAGACTTCTGTGATGTTACAATGATGTGTACCGTTCTTTTAGTTGAAGTTGCTTCCTCAGCTCTATCTTCTTATTTTCGTTTGAAGAGTACATTTGACTGTGAATTTTTCCCACTTGGGGATCTCCCTTGATCTTCAGCCAGATTAAGCGTGCTGCACGTAAAGATTTATCTATTAAATTGAATTCAAAAGAGCATGTGAACATGATGATGGCTCTTGCAGGAGCCTTTGACGGAAGTAAATTGAATTTTGAACTGGCAAAGTTGAAGCATTTTGTACACTATTTTCTTTGTTCCCTTAAAAGCGCCAACTACAAACATTTTTTGCAGTTTCCTCTTTACAATAGCATGAGAGGTCAAACATTTTTTGCAATTTCCTCTTTTACAATAGCATGAGAGGTCATTGATCATCGGAAATGAGCGGTCGTTGCTAGTTTATAATAATCACTTCTTTGAATATGCAGGCATTTCAGCAGTTCACAGGCATCAACACGGTTATGTACTACAGTCCAACAATTGTGCAGATGGCTGGCTTTAAATCTAATCAGTTGGCGTTGCTCCTGTCTCTCATTGTCGCTTTAACGAATGCCATGGGTACTATAGTGGGAATTTACCTCATTGATCACTTTGGACGCAAAAAGTTGGCTTTGACAAGCTTATCCGGTGTGATTGTGTCCTTAATTCTCCTTGCTGTAGCGTTCATCCTGGAGTCTTCTAATTCTAATTCAATCAATGTCGGGGGATACGGCTGGATTGCTGTAATAGGTTTGGCCCTCTATATTGCTTTCTTTGCACCTGGTATGGGTCCTGTGCCATGGACAGTGAACTCTGAAATATACCCAGAGTCCTATAGAGGAATGTGTGGTGGCATGTCTGCTACTGTCAACTGGATATCCAACCTTATAGTGGCACAGAGTTTCCTTTCCTTAGCGGAGGCTGTGGGCACGGGTGTTACATTCTTGATACTAGCTGGTATAGCAGTGATGGCATTTGTGTTTGTCGTCGTGTTCGTGCCAGAGACCAAGGGCTTGTCATTTGAGGAAATGGAGAGGATATGGAAGGAGAAAGCTTGGGGCAATGGATCTGGCAAAGATGCACTTCTTGAGGCCAGAAGCTGATTAGAGTCTTTCAGCGACTTCATGATCAGTTGGTGCAGTGTAGCAGTTTGTAAATTATATAAAATATATATTATGGTAATGTCAATGTAATGTGGACAAGGGGCCTTGCAACTGCGTTATTAAAGCTTTGGTTGCAAGCTCCAATCCCTATGACGGAGGAAATATTTGGAGAGCTCTGTTGGTTATGAGACCAGAGAATTCCATATTTCCATTAGACTGTTTCGCTTTTTGTATAGTAAAGATCTTCAAGTAGAGCATCCGAACGTCTTTGGTCTGAGCTTCTTAAGTTGATGCTTGTCTTTTTAATTAGAGCCACTCAACATCAGGCAGGAATTACCTGTGGTGTTTGGGGGTTTGGCTATAAACCTTACCTTGCATGTTATATGTTATTAATATATCCAACAGGTTCACCTTTTACGGTTGTAGCTTTCCAAAAGGATTCTAGTTATGTGCTCCAAATATACTGTGCAAGTCAAAGGGGTATGCAGTTTTCTGCTTTCTTGTACAATGCACTTGACAAAAACTAATGTTACAAACTACAAAATGTCCAAGAACTTTCACTAGAATGTCCGCCATATCGCTTTCTTACTCTTCTTCATATTGATGAACATATTTAATTAAGAATTCTAGGTGGTCCAGTGGATGGATTAAGCTATTGATCATATCATAGGTCAAGGGCGGAACGAAGAACTAACATTTTTCTTCCTCTGTTCTCTACTAAGATTGTAATAGATCCGAGTCATCTATCCAATATGTGAGTAGTGGATCTTTATTATCGAATGATATGGGAGACAGTCAAAGCATCGATTTCAGCATCAACAGAAGAAAAGTACGGACCGATCGCCGGGAGGAATGCATGGTTCCCTGGCCTTCATGGGACGGACGTTCGCAGTCCTCCTCCATCTAATCTAACCCTAACTCTTCTTCATATTGATGAATATAAGATTTGCACCTGAACAATTGGCAGGCTGTCCATGTTGATTTGTTTTACTTTCATCAGTTCATTGGTAGGCTCAGAACATCATAATAGTACATCAATTGGAATGGTAATGTAACTGCATGATCCTCCATACTTGGTTAAAGCATCTGCAAGTTCATGTCCTTCCCTAAAGCAGTGTCTAATCTTATACTGGCAGTCTAAGGAGGGTGCAACTTCCTTCCAAAATATTGACCACTAGTGAAGAGTTCATCTCTAAAATAATATTTGTGTAGATTGCTTTTACACATGTATAAAGCAAAAGATGCAACCTGTATGTTGTTAGAGAAAACTTGAAGTGGAACTGCAAAGGCAAAAATCAAATCCCCATTGTTAAATCCTTGGTGTTTGTTTGAAACTAAACTTTTGGAATGCTTGCTTCTCTTTGTATGTTTGTTTGCATCTAGCTACGTTTATGTAGTTACTCATACTGGTTTTTGATTCATTTTAATTTTTGCCCATTTGCTCTTGATTTGGTTTTAGGATTTCCCAAGCCCCCAATGAAAAAGGGGTTTGGGGGGGGNAAAATAAAAAGAGTTGAGTAAATCAAAAATTAAAAGGAGGTTCATCGCCATTGCATGGTGGGAATCCAAATGAATGAAGTGACTGGATTTGGGGTACTATATTGTTACTCCAAAGTTAGCCGATAAAAAATAAAGAAAAAGGGTATATGCTGGACTAGTATAAAAATTATTTTGTCTGTAACTTCTAATGGAGCGTATAAACAAAATTTTTTACATAGTTCAAGGTAAATTTCACATTATGTAAAATCATTTAGGGTCTGTTTGGAAAGTCATCCGGTAATTAGAATTGGTGTAATTTACTAGGGTAGTAATTACACAGCCTAGTAATTACACAATATACTAATTACGACGATCTGTTTGTTGTCATAACATAATTACAGTGTAATTACAAGCGTACAGTTTGATTGCACAAGTGTAATTACACAATTACACAATATAGTAATGCATGTTTGATAAAATAAATTAATATTTATAAATCTAATGTCATAACGTTATTCAAATATTTGACAAAACTAATCTATCAATTCTAACTAAAAAATGAAAAACATGCAATGTGAAATAACAAAAGTTAATACTACTAAAACAAGTAAATTGGAACCATAAATATTATACAATTTTAAAATCAAAAAAAATAATAATTTAACAACAAAATTCTAGTTGACATCTTCATTGTATGCCAAGTTTGTTAATGACTCATTATTTCTACTATTAAGAGCTGTAGTTTTACAAACTAGAATAATAACACAGTTACGCTAAATGAAGAAATTAAAACAAATAAGAAATAAAATATACGAGCAATTACATGGATTTACAAGAAGTAAAGGTAGAGAAATAAAAGATAAATAATGTACAAAAAAATATAGTTTAAAATTAAAAGAAAAAATAAAAATAAAAATAAAAAGGAAAGAAATTAAAAAGTAACCTTGTAATTACATAGTGTAATTATCATCAATTCTCACATCACCTTGAGAATTGGAGAGTGCAATTACACCTCTCCAATTACACCAAATTTCATGCTGACCAAGTAATTAATTGGCTAGACAAACATACCAAACTATATAATTACACCCAAATCCAATTTCCATATGGCTTTCCAAACAGGGTCTTATGATGCCTAAATAAATAAAAAGTTGGAAGCAACTAAGCATAAATGTGTTTGGATTGACTTATTTTAAATATTTATTGGGTTTTAGGTACTTTTCTAGTTTTTGTGATGTTTGACAATGATAAAAAGTATTTAAAAATACTTATTTTTAGGCATAAAAAATACAAAAAATAAATCAAAGGTATTACCAACTTATGGCTTTTGGCTTTTAGCTTATAAGCTACTTTTTAAAAGTCAATCCAAATACCCTCTAGTCAAACTGGGGGTGTTTGTGTAAAATTGCCTTTTACAAGTTAGTTTGCAGCATTTCGGCATCTTATTGGGTGTATAGATACACAAAAGTGAAATATTAAAGTCCCTAACGAAAATCTTATTCGAATTAGGGTTTTGATTACGACCTATATAAACTCTCTCTTTTCCCTAAAACCAGCCTTTCTCGTGAACACAAAGTGAGTCCTGCAGTTAGGGTTTTCATACAACGAAGCGCCGCCTCTCTCGCTTACAGCTTCTGAAGAAGAAAAATGGGTCACTCTAACATCTGGAATGCTCACCCTAAGAACTACGGCCCTGGGTCTCGTACCTGGTATTCTTATCTAAACCTTTCCTTTTAATCTTGTCTGTTGATAAATAAGCTGTTTACTGCAATCTTTTAATCTTGTCTGTTGTTTAAATTCTGACTCTGATGCGTTTTAGATACCGAGATATGAAAGTTTATGTTTTGAAATGGTTTCAATTCGAACTAGAATTAGAGTAGACCTAGCGGATACTCTTGTATTTCGTAGGCGATTTCTATCCCGGGTTTTGGGGGGGGGGGGTTAATTACATAATAATTTCTCCTCACATTTTGCTAAAGGCGTTAATTAACGTGTTATATGGTGGCTGGAAAGAAACACAACAACTGTAGGGAATAAAGGTATAGAGTTGTGTCTATGGTTCTGATGAATTTTTGTTGAGTGAAGTATGAAAAACAAAAAAAATCTTTTTACTGTTTTTTATGTACATACAATTATCATGTAGAATATATTGTGGACTGTGGTCATGCCTATGAAATGTGAAGTTACTAAGGTCTTTAGTGTAGAGGAATACATGTTTTATCCTGATGTTCTGGAGTTATGGTGTTGGGATGTTTGAATAGTTGGTGAAGGTTTGAGAGTTATTCTGCTAGTTATTGATGTTATGGCTTGCATTTGGTATGTGTCATGTTAAATATTGTTCAAATTAGCAATCTTTCTGCCGTTAAATGGTTCGATTTCAAATTTTTGTTGAGTATGATGTTAAATTTCACTATTAAATCTAATATTTGCTCAAACATTATGATCCCAATCTAAAAGGATATTACTGCCATTCAGTTCTTCTGTATGTTAACTTTAATGAGACCTCTGTTTGCTTGTCATTGCGAAGTATTTCTAATTACTATGTCATTGCAAAGTATATCTAATTAGTCTGTGGTGAAAGATATTCCATTTGTGATTTGGATAGATACCTTTAAGCTTGCCAGTATCATATTCCGTTCTACCATTATGTACAGTGTGGGTGACTTAGATGTGTAAAGTGATTATCATTGCTTGTTTTTGCCATATGTCTAGTAGTTGATCTGGAATTCTTTGTTTATGTTGCAGCCGTGTCTGTGGTAATCCTCATGCAATTATAAGAAAGTATGGACTCATGTGCTGCAGACAGTGCTTCCGCAGCAATGCCAAGGAAATTGGCTTCATCAAGGTAAAACAAATGAACTCTGTTTTCGAAGTTCAATTATACTTGCTTATTTGGATAGGAAACAAAATTTTTGCTTATTCTAGGTCAGATTGATATTCATTCTTTTAATTGGCAAGACATCTTAGCTTTAGTCTGTATTATCTTTAGTCCTAGTGTTGTCTGTTAATCTCTTTGTTCTATTTGAGGCTAATTGTTTTTCCCTTCAACTCTATTGCAGTACCGTTAAATCTTCAATATGAGCTTCTATGAGGACCTCTCTCGGAGTGTGGTGCTGATAGATGTCTGGAATGAGAGTTTTTTCCATTTTCATCTCCCTTCAGCTAAATGATGTAATGGGATAATTTTGATTTTATGTTAGCTTCTGAAAGTGAACCTTTGTGGGTTGATCTAAAGACTAGTACCTTTAATCTGAATATTTCTTCTATACTTTCCATTTTTATATTTTCGTCTACTTTTTCCTTTTGAAGTTTGTTTCTTCATCACTTTTTAGCAATCTGTCTCAGTAACAGACTTGGGATATCCGTGAACAGTTACCTTTATAGTCACTTTTCATAGCAAGTTATGTTGGCTATATGAATCTTTTGCCATGCTGTGATGCTGATGCATTGAAATTCATCCGACTCCTAACTAGTACAAAATACCAAGGGGCTTCTATCTAGTGTTCTGTAGGTTGGCCATTTCACTGATGTTCTCTTGCATTCGCTGTAACAAGTAGGTGTTTGACTAGACAAAAGAATGGTGTTTAATTGGGTGTGCATATTTGCACCAACACCATTGATATGGCTGGGTGTATATACAGTCACACCTCTTTACATCCTTTTATAACAATACTTACCTATAAAGTATTCGGAACCAATGGGCTGATATAGATAAGTTTGACAGGAAGCAGAATTGGCCTCCGAAAGGTATTGCACATTAAAATCTTTTTAAGTACAGCAAGGAGCCATGATGCCATACATGTAGCTGTCATCTTCAGACCTAGTCAAGAAGATAGACAAGGTTGGAATCTCTGATGTAAATCTACTGTGATTATAGATTTACATCCATGTTCATTGAACAAGTCACTGTTTAATTTTATCATGTAAAAACCATCA